CCGCACATTTCTGATTAAAATGAGACCTCTCCCCAACTCTACATGACCTTTCTTTGCAAAGTTATAGAATTTACAACAAAAGCCCTAAATGTTCATTGTCAGCTAAAAGCTACAGAAATAAGAAGAAATTAGTTTAGGGCTCTTCGTGTAAATTCTATAACTTTGCAAAGAAAGGTCATGTAGAGTTGGGAGAGGTCTCATTTGAATCAGAAATGTGCGGGCCACAATCATGCCTCATTAAGAAAGGTTCGGGTTATTTTTTGGGGTTTTTGAAAAACTGGTTTTCTAGAAAACCAGGTCTTCGAAGGCCTAACAGCGAAAACCATTGTCATATTCGGAATCAGCATAGTCGATAACCTATTCTCCACTAGGTTTCAAGAAAAAAGCGAACGGACACTTGGGGCAGTTCCCTCGTTAGTTCTTTCATACTTCTGAAATATTTGTTAACTTAATTCAATTTTTCTTTTAATTTGTTGTTTGGCTTTATAAAGAATTGGATTCTATGCTTCACTAATTTCGTCATGTTTACTGATGGATTCACTGACTTTTGAATATATAGCTTCTTTGAGTCTTCTCTTCCTCTAATTCTTTTCTTCTAAAATAAATGCATTCTCAGTATCGAATAAACGTTGATAATTATTTGTCTGGCGATGCTGAACCATTTCTGATTTATCATCATCATTATTAATCAATCTAAAATGTTGTTTCATGCGTTGTTTCTGTTCCAATTTTTGTTTCTCCATTGTATATTCTTGGTGGTTGACAACCACATTGAATTTGATAAACTACAGACTTCCACGGTGTTTTTAAGGAATGATTGAAATAAGATTGAATGTTATTTGGATAGGCAAAATAGAGTTTAATATTTAATTTGGCTAATTTTCTCTTTAAGACTTCTAATCCGGGAACGTATGGTAAACTAATACTATGCTTCAAGTCTCGATCTTTCTATATGTTATATGTGAATATTAATATTATTCACTGCTTCACATAATTGTCTAATTAATTTTTCAATTTCTTTCCATAGATAATTTGAATTCAATAACATTTTCTTTAATTTTAACAAGTCTTCTTTTTGTTCATATGTATCTTCTGTTGTTTGTAAAATTCTTGTTGGCATGTTCTTGACAATATTTGTTTTAACGGATTTGCTATAGCCTGCTTCATAGTTATACGACGATCTGTAGCTGTGTTTTTTCTGACTACCTGGTATTAATTCTCATTTGATTATCTTTATTGTCTTTTTACTGTTGTATCTAAGAAATTAATTCTGTTGGTTTCACATTCATACGTAAATCTAATGGTTCATTTGATAGTATTTAGTTCACTAACATAATCTTTCAATTCTTGTTTATTCATTTTCGTTATGATTAGGATATCATCGACGTATCGCCAAATTTTGTTTGAAATGTTGACTTGATGTTTCCTTCACACTGTCGATCCTAAAATAAAATAACATATAGTAATCGTGGCAGTATTTGATGACAATCAAACTTGACGTTAAGGACGGCATATACTGATATCATCGTACATAAAGCTTTTTCAGTTCTACTTCGACAACATATCGATTCCTAATCCAATATTACTTTTAGTTCGTTATCATCGATCACAATCGTTGGCTGGGAAATCGTCGGTTTCTAAATGAACCAGCTTCTAGTAGAAAAAAGAAAGTTGTAGCGAAGCAGTCTTGGAACAATGTATAAGAAAAATGCATGCGCCCGACTGAGTCTTTGTACTACGTAGCGGAAAGAATTTTTGTTACTGGAATTGTCATTTAGTGAAAAAACGTCTTTTTTGCAACGTCTGGTGTTTCAGACAATGAGAAATTTTTCGAAAGTTAGACTAATTGTTTACGTTTGTGATAGACGATCCTCTGTTGATATCTATACATAATCTAACAGTAAAAACAATAAATCCTTTGCACCACATATTACTGTTCTTTCCCTACTCAGTGTGAGGAAGCATTTCAGACCAGAGAAACACAGAAAACTCTCCTTTTTAAAGATGCACTTAAACTTAAATAGCAGTCTCATCTGATTACCTATAAGGAAGCTCTCTTTTCTCTTAAATCGATAAATATTGGTGGTTAGTTTCTTGACCTGATTTATAGCGTAACATTTGCGTTTTCGAAATATCTATTTTGAATTAAAATCAAAACAACTTTTGCTATAACTAAGAGATGGGGAAAAGTTCCACTAACGTTACTCTTCGTATTTTTGTTCAAATTTGTTATTTCTAAATGAGATTTTTGTGCAGACTTGAGACTAGTGCCAAAAGATAGAGACGTAAACGCATAATATATTGAATGTAACAAGCATAAAATTTTACCAAGTAATTTATTATCATCATCTTCTTTAATGTGTATTACCCCCCTCCCCTTCCCCCTACACACACAAACTCGAAGGACATGAACTTCTATTATGGTTTCGCACTTTGCACTTTTCTGGTGAAAAACTGACTTATCCCCCCCTAATATAGTGTGCATTTTTTCAGAGAGCACGCGGGCATCTGGTTTTATGAGTTAAAAAATGATTATTTTCCATAATATTGTCTTATTATGTGTCAAATTTTAATAGAAGTAAGAAAGTCAAATTCGAAAAAAAATTCTTTTCCGGCGAAAAATTCCTGAGGGGGCCCTTACCCTCAGTTTTTGTCAAACAATTTTTTATTTGTAAAATTAACAAGTGATACATCCTTCGATGTAGTTTTTCACGCGAATTCCGAATATGTATAATTTGCCTTCATAAAATTGTTTTTTGAAGAAAACTCAACTTTACCATAAACCAGGATTTTTTCGAAAACTTATCTCTCCGTCCAGCCAAAAAACCACATAAAACCGTATGCGCTATAGATGCAAGACACCGAGATGAACATTTGATGTAAATTTGAACGCTATCATAGTTTAGGAAAATTTAGGAAGCCGATTGCACTGGTACCGAAGAAAGAAAAAGAGATTTTCTCGGAAAAACTATGAGTTTTTTAACCATACTTTTTAAGATAAAGCAAAAACTTTTTCAGCATCAGATAGGTGGCATTTTCTGCGACAGAAAATATCAAAACGAAGTGTTTCGATCGTTTTGTTAAAAATACGCAATTAACATTTTCAAAAACGCGCTAATTAGTAAGTGGATTTTTATGTGAAATAATATATTCACATAATTTGTATGTGAAAACATTTCTTTACCAATTTTCTGAACAAGGAAAACACTTAGAAAAAAATGTTTTCGTCATTAAATTGGTCGTTAGCCAAAATATATATGACGGTGTTAAAATCTCCAAAAAGCGCACTTGCGATTTTGAGCCAAACTTCCGCTTATATGCCCACTATGCCTGCTTTTTAAAAATTTTCGCTTCAGACTGTCCTTCTAAACAAATTGAAATAATCTGATATACCAATTGCAATAATAACAGCGGTATATGAATTCATCTATTACACATACTTCTCTCCTTTTCTGAATTTTGATTGCTTTTATTTCTCACTTCAGATACTGATGATGACGATAATAAAATGGAATTAGATGAAGCACCGACTATAATTTTACAAAAGAAAAAATTTCATCTTTATTCATATATAATACATGTTGATCAAAGTAATATAAATAATGTCATTTTTAATATAGATAATAAGAGATACACAACCTTTTTCATGATGAAAAAGGTTGTGTATCTCTTATTATCTATATTGAAATTCTTCACCTTAAAAAATGACTCAATGTCATTTTTATTTATGGTACGCATTAAAGAAGTTGATGATGATAATAAATTACTTGGTAAAATTTTATGCTTGTTACATTCAATATATTATATATTTGATTTACGATATCCAGAGCATTTGAAGCATTTTGTGGAGTTAACCGATTTTTATATGCGTAAGCAGCAGAATTTCAATAAATTATCTATTACATTACAAAGTGTTATTTTAAAACTTCGTACAAATCAAAAGTAAAAGTAAGTATTTTACAAAACGAAGTTAACAGTTTGCTCTTTCTTCGAAAAACGAATCGGCTGGTATGTAGTAAACTGAGATTTGAGCCTTGATAGAGTTACGGTCATTCTAATGTTAGTGGATATTTTCTAACAACAGCAGAGACGTAAAGCATAGAAATTAGCGACTGCATCTAAAACATATTACAATTTGTGAGAAAATAACAAGGAAATTTTTATTTGACTAGTACAGCAAGTATCTGACACATTCATTTGAACATGTCAGATAGATTAAAAATGCTCAGTCATTGCATAATACTAATTATCCTAAGTATTACTACCTATGTGATGGGTCAACAATATCGTCCACCACGAATTCAAATCAATCGTTTATCGTCTGAACCTGTAATATCAAAATGGAATGACCAATCTGACTTTTTATACAATTATAATAGTGCTTATATGCCGTTGAATGAAGACATAGTTTTAGCTGTTCGTGTTCAAAATTTGTTACCAACTGAAACAAACATTTACGATGTTGCACCAAGTAAAATTGCTGTTAGTAAAAGTGTGAATAATGATCAATTAAAATATACTTATATTCGTGAAGAAGACGTGATTATTGATCCGGCTGATCAGCCTTATCAAATTGCGGGCGCTGAAGATCCACGAATTGTATTATATAACAATACCTATTATTTGTAAGTAGAGAATTTTCGTATAATAGAACACATGCTTTTTGTTTTTGTTTTAGATTTTATACCGCTGTTAGTAAAACTGATACAGGCGATTGGCTAGCTCATCTAGCGTTGGCAACCTGTAATGCTGTGAATGATCCATTGAAGAAGCAATCGTGGCAATACCATGGACCATTGTTTCCCAACCACTCATGGAGTAAAAGTGGAGCTTTGTTAATTCATAATCAAACACATTCGTATCTTTTCTTTAACGATTCCAGCATTGCTATTGCTGTTTCAAAAGATTTGATTCATTATGAGCTCACCGGAAATCTGTTATTTACTACACGAGAGGATCGTTTTGATTCTGAGTTGGTTGAAGCTGGACCTGAACCACAACGTTTAAGTGATGGAAATTATTTGTTTTTGTACAATTCAGCGCGTCAGACTACCATACCAAATCCCAAACCTGGTTGGAGATTAGAATACAACTTGGGCTGGGTAATTTTAGATGGACAAAATCCATTAAATATTCTAGCACGTAGCGATGAACCAATTTTCTCTCCCGATAAAGACTGGGAGAAGTGTGATAATAGTTCGAGCACGTTCTGGCGCACACGCGGTTTGACACCGCTGGTAGTGTTTGTCGAAGGTTGGAAGAAAATTGCTAATGATCAGTTTTTAATATGGTATCAAGGATGTGATACAACCGTGGGTGTAGCAGAACTAAAAGTTGCGTTTGGAAACTGTTTTATTTTGAAAATGAGCGTACCAGTTATGGCATTTTCTCTTACATTATATCTACTAGCATTAGGGTAGTTGGTGATGATGTATTTCTATCTATGCATAGATGTGTGATTTTTTTATACTAGGTTTTTCTTATAAACTGCGGCTACAACTATGAACAGAACAAATATTAGGTTAGGTGTCCGTCTCTCGAATAGGGGGTCCCGATGCAACATAGGCGATTCTTCTATAAGTGGAAAGAACGACGAAAAAATGTTTTTGAGAAATTGTAGAACGTGAAGTCAGCAGCTTTAGCAAACGAAATGACTTCTTTCCTGTTTTTCGAAATAGGTATTTTACTTATTGCACGTACTTTATGTTTACAGGACAAAATATCTTCTCGTCTAACATGTTGTTACAACTATTCTTTCTAGAGTAGGTAAAACAACAGATCCGACCTGTGATTTGTTTTGCTTGAACATTGTCATTGAGCCGTCGTCCTACTAAATTATTGACATGGACGACGATAAGAGCAACAATTCTATTACAATGCATACTACGAAAATGCTTCCTGACCATTTAAATATCTTATCGATTGAACTAGCGATCCAAAACGCTGGTTGCAAATCAAAATCTGACGCTCAGTACTGTGAAAATCTTAAACTTTGTGATAGTGAGACTGGCTGCGGAAAAACTCTATCGGTTTCATTTTGGGACTAGCGCTTTTGATTATTGTCTTTTAGTATTGCCTTGCTAGACGTTTTGACTCTGCTCAAAATTGCAATTCTAGTTTGATCAGAATCTGGGCTAGTTCGATCATGTATCCAGCTAGAATCTAGCAGAATTAGACCAGAATCTGTCGATTTGTAGAGAAAATCTATAGAGAGTTATATTAGTTTACACTTAAATTCTCTGTACGAATTGGCAGATTGTGGTCCAATTCTGCTGTAATTCTCCCAGATTCTGGTCCAAACCACATCTTACGTGGTAATCTATCTGATCATATTTTTTGTTTAATACAGATGATTATTGACTTTTAAACGGCGCACATTTCTCTACACTCTCAAAAAACAAGTGCTCCACCAGCTAAAAAGATCGCTTAAAAGGCCCGCTATAAAAGTAACGCGGTAGCTATCACAGCCCTAGAAATTACTTAGTGCCAATATGTAACATTTTGCAGCTATAAAAGACAACATTCAAGTACATTCATAATCTTTTAAATCGTTTTAACCTCTCTCCCGTTTTCATCTGCTGTAATAAACTGCCGAAAGATCCATGTCAACGTCCCTGAACAAAAAAGGATGAGTATCGATTTAATCCCGAGCCATGGTCCCCCGAAAGAGACCGTCAATGTTGCTTCAGGCTCAAATTGAAATATTCTGCATATTTTTGTCAGTGGCAAAAGGAATTGAAGCAGAAATACATCTAAATAATTCTGCGGTATGATGAAGAAAGCGACGAATGCAGGAAGTAGAATAGACGAAAACAAGAGAGCAGACGCACGCGCTATAGCGAAAGTGGGCAGATTTATCTACGCTATGATGTAACAGACATTTATGTGTTTTAAACAACAAATACCAGCCAATTCTATTTTTGTTTCGTGTTTTTGAATTGCTTGTACACATTCACCACCATTCATACAATAACTGATAATCAATATTTAGGCAATAATCTACCAAGGACAAATGCATAAAGAATAGTGAAAACACGCTTTTACTGCTATTGTTGATGTTTTACAGAATTTACCTGATGAACTGTGATTATATAAACAAAAATAATGTTGATAAATATTGTTTGTATATGTCATACAGACACCATGTAAGTCACATTATAGTGCATTTTTATCAGTACACTATTTATTTTTCCCATCTAATATTAATTTAATAGTTAAACGCCGAACAGGTAAAAATGGATGTAAAGAATAATGACCTTTCCTTCAACCGACTCTCATATTCACATACACTCTATCACTATTCATGTCTCCGTCCGTCACTTTCTTCCTCTTCTCCTTGTTCAGTATATACGTTCACTCTTTCCATCCACGGTAAACTTCACTCTCTCTGTGTAGGTGTTCAATATCACTCTCTTATTGTTCATCCTATCTCTCTCCATTCATATTTCACCTCCCTCCTTTTGTGTGTACGTTCAATCACTCTCTCTTTGTTACTTGCACTATATATACTCATTGTACAGCACATACAGGTAGTCTATTTTATAATAAACTCAGTAAAGGCATCGTTTCCTTTACATCTGGCGATCTCGCCTCGGCAAATTTACTGTGAATCCCTGATCGTATATCAGATTATTTGTGTATTTAAGTGTGAACAGTTGTACACATCTTACTTGTAATATTTCGTTATTTAAAGCAAAACATCAAAGCGTAATCTGGTGTCTCTTTATGTAGTTTTATTAGTATTATTATTACATAGTTTCACGTAGTGTTAGTGTTCACTGAAATCAGTAGGGAATACTTGTCGTTCCTCTCTTTGTTACTTGCACTATATATACTCATTGTACAGCACATACAGGCAGTCTAATAAACTCAGTAAAGGCATCGTTTCCTTTACAATGAAAATTGTAGTGGATAATACCATGATGAGTGAAACTGAATATTTTTTGAAGAAAAAACATCAAATACATCAATCACAACAGAATATTGTTCATAAAGTTTTGGAACAATTACATAGAAAATATGTTTATAAACTATTGTTTGATTGTACAGAATATGATAAATTTCATCAACAAAATCATGAAGCAGATTAGTTTGTGATTATAATCTTACAAGTAATCTGTCTGCTGTATCACGAGTAGAAATAAGAATCAATGGTGTTTCTATTTGAAGGTAAATACTTAAACGTTCTGTTTGATATTGACATCGATCACCCGTATAACTTGGTGGACACAAATATTTGCTATGACCAGTAGCTAATGACAGACCGATACCACGGTTAATAATAGTACAATGACTGATTAACATTCTCTATAATTCCATTTAAACTTACTAATTTATCAGATAACAATTGTTTAACATGTTTATATTGTACATTAGCTATTGGTAGATACTGATTATATTCTTCAAATGAACATAATTTAAATTGTGAACGCTGTGGTTTTATTAATTCACAGAACCATTCATCCTAACTCTCTCCATAAACCGTTGCATTACCTTAAGTAATACCGTCGCATCTTAAATTCTTAGGTATAAATACATAGCCAGGACATGCAGACATCCTATGTTATCGTCTGACGAAGGTCGATTAGGACAAATATCTTCACCATCATGGAATGCAACATTGTAACGAAAGTAAAATTCTATGTCTGCAAGTACATAAAAATGATGTTAGATTGACAGAGGAGACGAAGGATTATGAAATAAAATCAGTACCGATGCTTGTTGGTATATGCGAGAAGGAGTAAAAGAAGGTTATTATTGAGGAAGGTTGAGTCCTATTGGCACAATTCAGCAGGAAAGCGGGTTTTCATTATTTCTTAAAAATGAGCGAAAGGATTAAATATACATACATTTAATTGATCGAAACTTGACTTCTCATCAGTCCCTTCTTGCCTTGCATTAGTTCCAATTTGAAGTAGAGTTTTTTGTTTCCATTTTAACTTGTTACGAGTGTGTTGTATGGTGCTAAAAGAAAACACAGTCATACATAGTTCAAAAATTGTTTTTTAACTAAATATTTACTATTTACAAGAATTTGTAAGTCAGATAATTTGTTCCACTCCATTAGAAGCTGATTTTGGATCTTTCTTAAGTCCTCCCCTCTCAGAAATCTTGGACGGGAAAAAATGTGAAAATCAAATGTTTTCAAAAAATTTTTCTCTGCATGCATCATAACTAGTAAATCTAACCAGCTAGTGACACGTTTATGTTTTATTCTTGAAAATGAACTTTTAAAGTTCGAAACGTTGAAATATTTCGTTTTAATTTAATTATATGTATTTCAATAAAATGGAAACTACTGCTGTTACTTTATTATGCGTACTGAAAAGAAACTACATGGACTGACCGGTGTTGATTTTTGAATTAGGAGGATTTTGAGAAAATCCGCAAGCATCGGGTTTTGGAGATTGTTGGTTACCTGGAAAATCAATAAAGACTTAATTGAAAAATCAGCGCCGCTCACTCCATGTAGTTAGATGTCTAGTTTAAAATAAAACACACCCGAACTCTCCAGCTTGAAATATATCAGAAAGTCTTGGGACGCCCTTCAGAGAGTTTGATTTCTACGCCTTTTCGGACCTTGATTTCTAAAAAACACCTAAACCGTAACACTTCCAGACCAAAAAAGTTCTTTCCTTTCAATATTTTTCGGTTCGAGTCCAACTAAATTAATCTTTGCACGACTGTATGTTAATCTTTTTTGTTTTCTTATTGAATTTCTAGCATTGCATGCCAGTATATGTCATGAATGAGTGTCGCAATCATCTGTTTTAAAAAAACTAGAACTTCTGTTCTACTTTGTCGATATGCTTCCTTATTTTATCCGCAAAAGCCAAGCTGCACAAGTTTGCATATTATGGCATATATACTCAGCATATTGCCCAACTTGCTCACATTCCACTACCGAATCATCAAATCATTCCACATCCTTTTTCTTATCACTCATATACTGCATGCACAAACAGGTATGCATCTTCCTAGATCATTCTTCTCTTATCTATTCACTTTATTGACCGATGTGAATCGCATTCTCTTTCATTTCCTTTCTCTGTCCAACTGATGAAGTATTGAAAACGTTTTTGTACAATTTTGCGAAAAATCTGTCCCAATAGAGACCATACCTGTCCTCTAAGGATACTTTTTCAAATACAAACGCAAAGAAGGTGTCTGGCCATTGTAGGCAAAACATGATTCGTTTAAGTGAAGTGTAGTAAAAATGTAATAGTTCTAGTAAGAAACCTATACATTTTTTGACAGGATCCTTGAGAAATCCAGCCAGGGTCCTGCCAGGATTTAGCTTACTTTTTGGTAGGATCCTAGAAAAATCCTACAGAATCGTACAGAAATCAGATATACCGGAAAGTCGTAGGATTGTGTTAGGATCTTAACTGGATCCGAAGAAGAATGGGATGACTGAATCATAATGTAGCAGGAATTATTTAGGGTTTTAGTAGGAAAAGATAATTCTTGAACAGGATTGCTTATATGTTCCTATCTCTCGTGAAATTTCTCCATGCGTTCCCATTTAGAAGCGTTTATAAATAACGTTAACTTCTTTTTTTTGGATTCCCTAACCTCGCCTTTGTAAACGCCCGTTGCTTAAGTTTATATCTTTTTCTTTTGGTGCTGTTGTTTATTTACTGATTTTGCTGTACATCAATTATGCTGATATGCAACAGCATATTCGGTAACACAAATACAGTTATCTACAGGCACATAAAAACAGCGAAAACGTATATCATGAGGAGAACACAACTCAAAACTATTACAATTTAGCATATCTGGTGGTTCATTTCTATAAAAAAAGTAAAGAGTATTTAAGAAATCGCGAAACGCAGAAAAATATTTATGTTTACATACAAATTTTGACATAGAAAAATTTTCACGCGACAGTTTTTGTAAGATAGCAAAACAACTTTTTTTAACAAGTAAAAAACATATTAACCACGCAAATTCAACATGATTGTTCTTGACATAAGAAACTAAATAGCTACATGTTATTTTTTTCTTGTATACAAAAAACTATGAAATGTTGTAATTGAGCGATGCAAACGTGCAAAAAAAAATCGGAGAAAAATGAGGCTGCAAAATAGAAGAACAGTTTTTAACTGCGTACATAAAACTGAATTGTGTTAATATGTTCATGCCGTACAATTGCTTCATATCATCAATAACGAAATGTCCGAAAGAACGCGGTGAATCAGAAGGAATTATTGCTTTTAAAGCAAAATTGCTCATAAAAACAAAAGTAATTTGATCTCCTGCACCGCACGGTCCTTTAGCAAAATCCTTTAAAAAACCGAGAAATGACTCGAATACAAAGCTCTCGACCATTCCATATGGCCAAATTTAAAATTTTGAGCAGGTAGATGAACGTGAGTATGTGTTGCTATAGTTAACATTTTTGATGGAATTATGCCCAAATTACGTTTGTCGTTCAAACTGTTTAGATAAAGTTTAATTTAAGTGATGAAAGCGCCTTTGCTCTCTCTGGACTATTTCAACATTGATCATGAAGCAATCGTTGGATAACAACATACATGGCAAAGTCTCTGAATAAGTCTTCTGGTAATGCATGACATAACACCGGCAGGCCAATAAAAATAAATACCCGAACTTCGCTGGCTTTCCATTTGTGTACACTTGAAAATCCTCTTGGCCTCCGTTGTATGTCATGTATGTGACGAAGCGATCGAAGCTTTTCCGTAATATGTTGTACGTTAACTTTAGATAAGATAATTAAGGTAAATATTATATATATTAAGGTCAAATAAATATATTAATTTATTAAGATAAATTTTTTAGTTTTAATAAATTTTCTGACAATTTTCTAAAATAACATGAAAATTCGACTTCTTTCGGCCTCTCCAGAGGCCAAGAAGAAGAATATTATCAGCTTTGGTCCTTGAGTACGGTGGCAATTCTACCACCGCACCTAAGATGGGCCACGCACTACATACTTTTGATTTATAAAGTGAAACACCGTCACTGTGTAGGATAAGTGTCAAAAAAAGCTAATTATTTTTCAACATACGTTGAAACTTCTCCCCCACGATATCTTCTTTATCTGACATTATATTATTTAGCACATGCAGTATTCACGCATTTATCTCTTACAGTGTCTTTATAGCAAACTGTACATAATCGTTCATTAACATTGAGTTTTTCAAATCCAATAAAAGCTCATTTGTTGACGATGGGACATTGTTCGTTGCTGACATAAATTTTTTCAATAAGATTAACAATTTATTCCTTAAATTATTCGGTAATTTAAGCCATTAATGAATCGTTTTCAATACATTGTGACGACGATGCTGCCTCAAACACTGATCTTGATTCTACATTTTCGTTATCAGATGATGTTGCAACTGCTGATGATGATGATGAAACGTCGTTTTTTGTTGTTGCGTTGTTTGTATACGTAGCATTTCTTATTTTTTCTTTGTTCTGTAACGCTTAAGCTTCATTTTTCTCTTCCATTTTGCTTCTTGTATGTATTTTTCAGCAGATTTGTATAACAAAGACATCTAGGAATGAGATAAGCACAGAAAACTAGAGTTAAGCGATGTGCACTTGTTTCTAGGACTTTAACCATCCCATTTCCATACTCTTTTTAAGTTCACCAATACGACCTTTGCGCAGGTGAGGAAAAGTGCTCGTAAGAAAAATTGCTCTTGTTAGAAACAGACTTTTTTAAAAACTAACATTCTATTTATTCCGTTCATTAAAAGGCATCAAGCTAACACAATACATTAAAATATATCAGCCCTAATTAAACTTTCAAACTAAGCATACTGTATTTACTTTAGACTTACAAACAAATCCATTTTTAAAGTTGAAGGTGCAAAACAACTTATGTAAAACAAACAAAACTATTTTTTTCCTAATTTCTGTTTTTTTACATCCAAGAGTTTTTAGACTAACGATGTACGTAGTTTTACATGCCAGAGGTCCGCCATATCTTCAGGTTTAAATGCAAAACGGCGACGCACGGCTTCTAAAAATACATATACAAGTCTAGGCTGTAGAAGATGGAAGACAATAAGACGTATTCCGCCAAACCTTTTATAGTTGTCACCTAATCTTCGTCAATTGGAATTCGGCTAAGTTTTTCTCCTTTAAAATCGGGTAGATATCCATTAGTAAATTGATCCGATTCAAGCATCACACGAGCAACATTGAGCATGAATCGAGTCGGTGTTTTTCCATCAAGTGTCATCAAATTAATCTTTTTTACTATCTAAAGAAAGAGATATAAGCGAGAGACGCTTTAACAACAAAAAAAGTACAGAAGACACAGTATACCATTGATTCAGCTAGTGGTGGAGGATATTCATTCTAAAAAGAAAAGCGGTTGGACATATATGAAAAGTAGTTGCTAAGCAGAAAACTGTAGTCTTACATCATTCGTTAGAAAGAACTTTTAGCTATTCCTGTCAAATGAGAAATAAGCAGGATCAGAACATTTTTTGTGGCTGCATTCTCTCCCACCATCTGGCGATTAGCGCAGTAGAGTTTTGCTATTCTAACTAGTAATCTGTTCCTTGAAGTCCTTGAAAACTCTAATTTCATAATATACACGCACTTCTTTTCCATTGTGTTTTTTTTTGCATTGAATAAACTTTAGCAATCATTTTTTTTAGTTCACTGATTTGTTTTGATAATTCAGTTTTTTCATTTGGATCGAGTATAACTGTTTGTGAGTGTGAATCTGATATATTTGCTGTTGCCACAGCAGTTATTTCTGGATGTGACTGATCATCAAAAAATTGTGAAAGAGAATCATTTGTAATTGATGAGCCTACTAATTTCGACATGGCATCACCTACAGCAAAGAGATAAAAACATTCTTTACAACAATTAATTCAATCTCATGAGCTATAGTGATGTTTTCTTTCTAAAAAGCTGAGAGGAAAGAAAAAGAACTAGTTTCAGTTCTTGATATACGTTGGGGTTTTCCATTCAGAAATCTCTTAAAATTCAAAGATTTCCATCTGCATAGTCGAAAGCCATGTACTCACTTTTAGCAGTCGTTAATTGTCGACTAATAAAGTATAGATCTACACTATCTTCTTCGTCAGTTATTTGTGTCTTTATTCCTTTTTGTCGCTTTAGAACTTTATTGGCTTTGTTTTTCTTTCTTTTCGTCGACAAACTCAATTGCTCAGATTTTGACTCACTTGAACTTTTTTCGTTTTTTCTCCAACGACATCATCATCAACTTCTTCAGCATTTTTTTGATTCGATTCATATTCAATTTCATACAATTCATTACAATTCATTTTCATAATACTTCAGCATTTCTATTGAAAAAATTACCAGAGGAATACTTTAAAATTATTACAATTTTATTTAATAAGTGCGCAGAGAAAGGTTTATTTTTTGATAAAAGTAAACATGCAAATGTGATATGTTTGTCGAACGATGGACTCTATCCGCAGAAAAATCGATTACGTCCGATTTCTTTGTTACCGAATTTAGGTAAATGGTATGAAAAGATTATACATCAAAGAATATTAAAATGGTGCGCGGAAAACAATATTTATGTCGACAAACAATCGGGTTTTACCCCAGGTAGACGCTTGCAAACCCGTATTATATCTCTTTGTGAAGAACTAAGGCTTCAAGTAGCTGCATCTAATCGACCTGTTTTGGTAATATTTGTGGATTTTTTATCTGCTTTTGACAAAATGTGGTTTCCTGCGCTTATCGCGCTAATCTCCATGAATTAAATATGCCTCTTCAGTTGTTACGTTGGATCTATTCTTGGCTACAAGATAGATCATTTTCGATTCACTATAGAAATGCTACCTCCAGACAGGTTAAAATGTTTGTTGGAGCGCCTCAGGGATTAATACTTGCGGCGACTCTGTTTCGACTTCATGTACACTTTTTGCCACAGTACTTTTTTCAATTGATAACACATTTATTCGCTGATGATTTAGCTATTGTTATAAGTAGCTCTTTAGAAAAGAAATTCTCGCTTAATGCTATAGAATTAGAGGAGAGAGCAAAAATAGTGCTAAAATCATTGGAAAAATTTGCTGATGATAATATTCTTCCTGTAAATATTTCTAAAACGAAAGCACTTTTAGTACACAATGTCGTATCACCATCGTACCCTAAATTAGAATATAAAAGAAAGAAAACAGAATAGGTTAAAACATATAAATATTTAGGTATTAATATCAGTACAAAATTGGAATGGGGTAATTTCATAAAGTAAAAAAGATAAGAAAAATGTATAAGGCGCTGAGAATAATGTTTTATATAATTCCAAAAAATGACATACAATTAAGGAGGGAACTATTTCTTTCGTTTGTCCTACCTCATTTCATGTGGTTATTTACCATATGGTTCTTATTTACAGATAAACAGAAGCAACAAATAGAGCATGTATATTGTAGCGGTTTAAGAATTGTGTATAAGTTAAGGAATTTTGACGATATAACTACTTTAATTTTGAGTAGAGAATACTCATTAAACGATTATATATATAATTACTGGATGAAATTTTCAAAACATCTTGACGAATCAACTGAAGCACTCTCCTTTCAACAGACATGGACTGCCTTTTTGATTGCAACTACCCCATCCAAGTCCTGGTATAAGACCTGCGGTTTTAGAAAGGATAGTAAATTTCCGAATCATCTTGCCCTGAAAGCTCAACACACACTTATCGATTGGTTTGCATTTGAAAATCTGCATAGGACTCAATATGCATCCATTAAATCTTCGTCTTTTCTATCCATTTTGTGTATAAATTCTATATTCAACCATTACTAACTATGTGATTTTGTTAATGGGATTTTATATGGCTGTATCGAACTGATTGTGAAAGATTATAGAAACAAAATATGTTTTCCTGTTCTCCTTTTATGATTTTCGGTTACGTGGCGTATTCTTTTGTCCTGAAGCATTTATTTTGGCCATCAGCATTAAAATAAGAAGGGGTGAAGAAGTGATAAAAAAAACTCCAGATATGTAAAATATCACGATGTTTTTGCCCTTTCTAAAATGTGTGAACCTACGGGACCAAAAATAAAAACATTTTGCTGGACAGGACTCAAAAATCTTTTCCAATCAAGATCGGGAGTCATAAGTAAGCCATATCTGTTTTCGTATTAAAAATTTTCGAAATTTTTCAAAACTGCCGATTTCTTTTCCAGAAGAAGAAAAATCTCATTCTACATGAGAATTTTTACAGATACCGTCAATTTTTTTCTTGAACGTCGAGCATATTTTTAAAAGACCTTTTTTCTGGTGCAAAGACAAATTACTACTTCTGAACCATGACTGCTTGTATATAGAGCGGCAGTTCCTATTCTTAAGCCTGATAACAGAACTAAAGGAAAAGTACTTCTGATAAGATCTTTTTACTAGTCTTTCTCTTATGCTATACATAGAGCGAAACCCTGACTATATTTTCAACTCCGAAATTCTGGAAGTACCGCTCTAATTTTATTCAGTTATGAGCTATGTCTTTAGTATAAACTGGTATAGACTGGTATTTAGTATAAACTTTCTCCAGTAGTAGAATTTAAAATTCTCGTATAGTAGAGATTAAAATTTATATTTCTACTAGTGCAACTTAAAATCGCCGCTTATTTTAATTTCTACTGCGACATTGCCACAGATTATAAGGTACATATCTGCGTAGTACTTGAATGAGAAAAAAACGTTTATCGTATAAGAAACATTTTCGCTTGGTATAAAAGAAAGTATATAACAGGTATCGACATATATGTTTGACAAAACATGTGAGAAGAGAAAAAATACATTTTTATTTTTCAGTGAAGACAAGCGTATATATATAAAAGATATGAATAAACTGAATGATAACTTTTTATTTTTTTATTTCGCAAATAACTGATGACCCTGTATGGATCCTAACAGTACAAATTATTGAAGAAGAAAAGAAGACTCGGGCAGACATTTCCCAAAAAGGAAAAGTGATATTAAGGATAAAATACCACGTAGTGTAAATTTGCAAAAAAGAAATTCAACTTTCACTCAACAAAAGAACAAAATAAGTACAAAAATATAAGTATATAACCTCTATTAGTTTAAAACACTTTCAGAAAATTTTTAAGGAGAAGTATATCAGACAAGTGGTACTCTAAGATCGAACAACGAGAGGAAGTACTGACACACCAATTTATACATTTTTCTAGCATCGATGTATGCTCCACAAATCTTTTTGATCTAAACATGCCTTTGATAGAAGTCTGCTCACTACGATAAGACTCTCTGTACACATTTAAGTTAGTCTGTTCAAGTAGCAATTCGCCATCGATAGAATCTGATAGTGCTCCCAAATATTTGTCCCAATAGAGACCACATCTATCCTCTAAGGATACTTTATCGAATACAAACGCAAAGAAGGTATCCGGCCATTGCAGGCAAAACATGATTCGTTTAAGTGAAGTATAGTAAAAATGTGATAGATCAAAGAAATAACTTTTGCAAAAATTTAAGAAATCCCCCATATCAGCGTGGTACGTAATAAATAATGTTGGTGTAAATATAGAGCCTTGTGGACCACCTCCCACAGTCCAGAACCACCGTGATTTCTTTGCGCCTATCTCGATAAATACTCCTCTATTTCCTAGCCATGGTAATATCCATTTCAAAAGCGATTTAGGGATGCCCATCCTTCTTAATTTGCTAATACACCCTTCGAACGACAGCCGATCGAAGGCCGATTTAAAATCAATAAAAATAGTTGCTACAGGAGAGCTGTTCGACATGAGGGAAGATACTTGTTCTAGGAACAATAGGACTCTAGTTTGAATGCGAAAAGTCAAATCCCGACTGAGTGTCAGGCAATAAACCCCTTTTCTTCAAAACATCCCTAAATCTGATTAGAAATAGTTTTTCGACAATTTTTATCTATATATCTAATAGTGAGATTGGCCTAGTTTGAGATGGGATATACACAGACTCTTTTTTTGCCAACAATAACATTCGCGCATCCTTCCATGCTTTCGATAATGCTGCCTAATCAAGTTTTTCTTGAAACGCATATATTTCTGACAATACGCGTTTTCGAAATATAAAACATTCAAATTCGGATAGAGCTTAAAATTTTAGGTATATTGGCAGATTATCAGTATGTAGTTGAGAGACATCCTTTCTCACTCAAATCACGAAATATAAAAATTCACTATTATGGCACTCGACGATAACAGAAACAATGTGGAATAAAAGTTTATTGAGTTTCTAACATCGCCTGCCAGTATATGTCATCAATGAGCGTCGCAATCATCTGTTTTAAAAAAAACTAGAACTTCTGTTCTACTTTGCCGATATGCTTCCTTATTTTATCCGCAAAAGCCAAGCTGCACAAGTTTACATATTATGGTATATATGCTCAGCATATTGCCCAACTTGCTCACATTCCACTACCGAATCATCAAATCATTCCACATCCTTTCTCTTATCACTCATATACTGCATGCACAAACACCCTAGAGATCGATTCTTATATAAGAATCTTACCACCTATAAGTCTCTTGTCAGTATCTTATAAAATTCTTATAAGAATCTTATCAGGTTCTTATATAAGATTGTTTAAGATTTCCCATCGACAGTCGTAAGTGTCTTATAAGAATCAGATAAGATTTTCATACGAGGTTCATAAAAAGATAAATCGCACTTAACGAGATCGAACTCGTAATCTTCCATTCAGCTGCCCGATCTTAACCATTAGGCTATAAGTGCTTACTCTGTTTATGTTATTATAACAAGTTATTTTAGATAGGAATGTAAGTTACGCGTAAAATATTGCCCGATTAACTAGTTAATACATCCTAGTAAAAGTTTTATATTTTTAAAAATAATAGTTCTGTGAATACGACTCATAAGTCATCAGAATAAATGACCGTTACAACCACTTACTAGTCCAAAAGATTTGAGAGCAAGTAGAAGTAACTTAATCATAATAGAAATCGTAAAAGCAGACTCATAAGATGCCTTCTAGTACATATTAACAACATAAGAATTTCTGGTCCTTCTTATGTTTTTCTTACGAGCCTCTTACGAAAATCTTATAAGATTCTTATAAGACACTTACGACTGTCGATGGGAAATCTTAAACAATCTTATATAAGAAACTGATAAGATTCTTATAAGAATCCTATCAGTTTTAGCAAAAAATTCTTGTCTAGGGCAGGTATGCATCTTCCTAGATCATTCTTCTCTTATCTATTCACTTTATTGACCGATGTGAATCGCATTCTCTTCTATTTTCTTTCTCTGTCCAACTGATGAAGTATTGAAAACGTTT